CATTGATCTACACTTCTTACCTGTGACTATGACGCGTACCAGTCGATTACTGCTACCGTATTCTACTTGGTTATAGTAGCCAAAACCACTTAGCTACTTCGTTTAAATATATCCGTTTCCGGCACATATCATATATTAACTTCACTTTGATACCAGTTGCTTTATTCTGTTTGGTCTCAAAGTTGTTTTATAGAATTGGAAACCGTATTTATCAATTAACTCAGTATTTCCTGTGAGTACCAAATTCTCCTGATTCTCTTTAAAAAAATTCATATGAACCTATTCAAGGCAGTAAAGCCACTAAAACACAAGAAGTTACTGAATGTGAAAAGAATAAGAAAAAAAAGAGAAACATTATTAAAAAGCAAGACCAATAGGAGAGTAATCAAGAAGACAGTAGATAACGATTGAAAATGGAGTTAAGTTTTTGAAGATCAAAGTTGGCTGGAGAGCATGGAGCTGGAAGAGAGTCCCACAAGCGAGAAATCTGATAAAAGAAACTGCTAGCATAGAACTTACGGTTACATCTAACCATTTCCACTGTGAATTGATGGGACTTTGCCGCCTATCTAAAATTGTGTTTAAATTCATAAAGTCTAGGTACCATAGCGAACGCATTTACAGAAAAGGCACAGGAGAGCTATATTACAGCAGATGAAAATTGAGTGAAACCGAGTTGACAGGTCAGGGTACTGCTGATTCTTTGGGTGCTATCAAGAATATCCTTTCGTCTATGTATCGCAGAAATTTCAACTCTCTCTTTCTGGTCCTAAGTAGAAGTTTTCATTTTTCTTAAATCTTTCTCGTTGCAGAAATGTCATTCTAATCGTTCTTCTGCAAAACTGCATCTGTCTTGCTTCAAGTTTTCTCTTTATGTGCGAGGAAATTGTCCGGTATTCACCACGATATCGGGGTGATGGGCTGACACTGTATAACAATTGAACACTCTTATCTTTGTTTCTAATTAATATTTCCTGTTTCTTAATATTTTACTTAGTTTTTTGAAAGCATCTTTCACTATTCTAATAGACTTTCGGAATTCAATCGTCTGTTCTAACACATCATTAAATTTCTATCCTTGCCTTATTTTGACGTCTCCAGTTTGTAGCTCATATCGAGCGCCTCCCCTTTTTGTTAATAACCATACATTCTGTTTTCTTACAATTGATGGATAGTACTTTCTTCCCGCTTTCCTTTCCTACTTTGTATCAAACTACCTGATGTTTTCTTCCAGTGTCTTCCAGCAATATGGTGATATTTGAGTATTTTATGTTGTTAATATTGTACACACCAGTAATAAATAATTTCAGCAGCTCTCGTTCCCTTAAGATCTCCTCGCTGTATGGGTTAAATAGATCCAATGTAAATCTTGTCGAAGAGCGAAAGAACTCTTTAATGAAACAACGGCATGCTAATTTGAGGCTGTGTCTCAATAAAAACACAGAGGAGAAGACAATGGGAAACCGCTCAACTATCAATCCCAACATTTCTAATGAGCCAATGGCCAGCTAGGTAGTTCCTTAATAAAGTCAGTTAGTAGAAATGAAAATGAAGCCACTCAACAATCATGTCCAACTCTCTAATGAGCCAATTGCTCGCTGACTACAGGCGGTGGCTCAATAAAGTTACTGAGGAGATGCGAATGAATATCTTATAATTATGGTTTTCCAGCACCCATTTTTATGCTTTCATTACAATAACATTTCTGTATCGTCATAATTTTTATTTGTCTCTTTTCTGTTGGACAAGACAGTTTTGAGAGATGAGAAATTTGGCTTTGATAGGTAAAGCAACGAAGTAACCACCTCCCAGCCGTTATTTTCAACTCGTTGAGGATGACAATAGTACATTAGATCGGTCGGAAACAGAAGCGTACGAGAATACAATTCTATTATGCATTAGTAAAATGACGCCTAAACATACAAATTTTGATTTTGGAACTAATTTGTTTCCATTATCAGAACAACAAAAATAATTGTGGTTATTTTACTTGCTGTCTTCTTTGATGCGTCGTGTGGTTTCAGGTCGTGAGCGATCATGGCACTCCACAATTTCCTGTCGTTTCTTATACAAAATTTTAATCTTTAAATCCTCGATAATAAATTAGTTGGACCAGTTGAAAGCTTCACGGCTAAGTTTCACCACGCCACGTACAGTGGGAGAAATCATCTGGATTCCATTCGTAATCTGTTAGCAAATACAACGTTCCTTTTGGACAGCTTTACCCCTGCAGCCGCTACTTTGTGGAACAGACTCCCAAGATTATCCTTTCTTGATTTCTACACTAATAACAATATCTATTCATGTCTTGGATTTAACCCTTATCTATCCTACATATCCTCATAAACTATACTTACCATCTCTTGTTATGCTCATACAACAACCACATTCAATAGCCCTCTACCTTGAGTGGCTCTTGAGCCTTGTAGTGGTGAACGATAGGAAAAAGAAAAGGATTATCTTTTGTCGTTGTTCTACTGCCCTTTCATGTAAATAGATTGTTAGTTGTTTAATCCTTCTTCTCTTAATGTCATTATTCCTTGTGTGTGTTAAATTCTCGAAGCCTTCTACATAATGAGTTCCAGAAATGAATCGGTCATCTTTTTTTTTATTTGGTTGTAATTATAACTTTACTATCTTGCTTAAAACTTACTCACATGTTCTGTCCGTGGTATGCTGCACATTCGTCGGTAGAATCAAATCTCTTTGACTCCTTTTTTCTACGGTGAGAAAATTGTCTAGCATTTAAGGACTATTCTTCTCAAAACGACATCGTTGCACCAAGAAGAGGTATCAGATCAGATGTTACATCAATATTCAATGCCTGAACGATTGGTAGAATTCTAAAGAGAGATTCTGGCGAGAAAAATTGTCTAGCATGACACAGTCAACCAATTTTCCTAGCAGCTGACCTAACAATTGATTCAATATAATCTTTCGATTTCATGTCAGTGAAAGACATTAGTCCAAGATGGCACATCTAGTCATTCGACTGGAGGTTAGCATCAGCCATGCTAATGGAAAGCAAAGTGGTTCTCTAAGATGATTGAAAAAGTGCCGTTTCATTTTGGAGGTGTTAAAATTCATAAGACATTCATTGCCCCAGTTAACAACAAGGTTGACGTCATTTCTGAGATCAACTGCAAATCTGACCTTCTTAAACCAACCAGACTTACGATGCGAGCTAGTAGCCAATGGCTTAAATTTTTTCACTTGTTTTTCTTCAAGTACTTTCGACCCTCTCTGTGTTTATCAAAAACCATGTGCTGTAAGTGTTGTAGACCAAATTCTGTTGGCTACAATTTCGATCCCAATACACAATATCTTATTTAAAAATTTGAAAACGATGCGACTTAGTAAACAGTCGCGTGTCGATTATGAGGTCGAGGCATCATGGAGGGGTGTTCATTAGACCAATTGTCATGAAAACATTTTTAGAAAAATAAGGTTAGGCGATGGAAAAGTGACTGAAGTTGTGATGCTAGGTGAGGGTGATAACATTATTATAAATCCTACTTGTCGATAATCTCGAGATATATAACCAGAGCACGAGCCCAGATATCGCATCAGTATTCAATGCACGGGTGAACGGTAAAATGGCAAAATAAATTCTGGTGAGAAAAATTGTTTGGCACGACACAGTGAACCAACTTTCCTAGCAGCAGACCTAACAATATAATCTGTCCACTTCATGTCAACGGAAATACCAGAAAACTATCTTATACATCTATAAGTCTACCACCATTTGTTCACAATTTGAATGCTTCTGTCACAGCTGGTCTGATGCTTTCGCTGTGTATTCAGGTTTTCATCATTTTACAGTTGCATTGGCTCGATGCAACCGTAAGTTCTATTTTAGAGATTCCTTCTCTCGTACTTCTCGTTTGTGGAACACTTTTCCTTCTCGCTTTGGTTTTCGTAAATTTAAATGCAATGTCGATCGTTTTCTTGTCTTTTTAATTCCTCTTCTTTTAGTGTTCTCTCTCCTTAATTATTTATTTTTTCTGTTATTCTCTCATATTCACCTTGCGTTTTATTGGCAATAAAGCCAATAAGATGCAAGCGGCTATTGAGTGTTAGGAAAGAGAACAAGGAAATAGAACAATGAAAGGAGAGGAATGTTTGAAATTGCATTTACATTTTTGAAAATGGAAATTAAAATGCGATAGAAGAAACTATTAGCATAGAACTTACGGTTGTATCCAGTAATTTCAGGTGATAAATGATTACACCTTGCCAACAATCTGGTTCTGCTCTTACATTTATAGAGTCTAGGTGCCAAAGAGGAAAGCTCACCATGATATAGTGGAATATGCATACACCTGAGTTCCCCCTCACTGTAATATGATTGGCTGGTGTCCGTCATAAATACAGACGGACGTGTAGATACGACAGAGTTTAAGTCTATGGCGACGCCCATTGGACTACGCCATTGGCTATTCTATTGGTCTACACCTATTACCTGCGACTACGACGAGTACCGGTTGATTACTGCTACCGTGTACTACTTGGTTACAGTAGCCAAAACCACTTGGCTATTTCCATCAAATATATCCCTTTCCGGGATATATCAAACAGTATTTATAGAAAAGGTACAAGAAATATATGTTACGTCGGTGGGAAAGCGACTGAAGCCGAGATGCCAGGTCAAGACCATTAACATTGTAGATTCTTCTTTGGATTTTATCAAGAATCTCTTATAGCAGAAGCACCAGACCAGATGTGGCTGCAATATTCAAAGCAAATACGAAGGATAGACTCATAAACCTGTTGCTTCTTTTGGGTGAAATGATTAACAAAATAACAATTTATGTGCTAAAAAAACCCGCAAAAACGAAACAAAAAAAAAATCTTAAAATATTTCAAATTTCGGAATTAATTCCATAATGGTTCTGTTCTTTGCATTGAATCTAAAACGAATATTCCGTTTTCAATAACCACGGTGTAATGAATAGAAAATACTATGAAAAACTAATAATGATTTTCGTATTCACCTTAAGATGTTGCGCTGCCTAAACAAGTCTGATAAGAAAAGAGTTAAGCCAAGTAAATATTTGTAGTGTTTTCGGCTATAATTACTTTCTATTATAAACACTATTGGGGTTTACATTATATAGAAGAAAAGTGTCAGTTCAATCAATTACCTTATATTCTTAATGGTTTGATGCACTCAGTGGTCAAGAAAGTTGATATGAAATAGCGCATTAATAAATCTACTTAAACATTTATCTAATTGAAGGCTCTTCTTTGATAAGAGCTTCAACTCTAGAGACACATTTGCTATTAAAATTAGAGAAATATGAAATTATTCACTTATCTGTTATTAATGCCGGATATATGGCAGGAACGTTTATTTTGGAATTTTTCCAGATGATCTTGTGCCAGATACATAGAATCTCTATGAATCCAAACAAATTTAAGAAAACGGCCGGCGAGGAAAAAATAAATAAATGTGGGTGTAAGAAAAGCTTCGCGCTCCATAACGCGCTTGTTAAATTTTGTATTCATAGAACCCTCCCCAACTTAATAATTTTTAACTTTATATCGGCAGTTATTTATATTGTAGAGATAATTGAAATTTATAGGAGCCATAATGAGGAAAGAAGGTTCGAAAAAATTCACCTTCCCAGGGCACACTGAAGAGGAGTAGAGGTTTATACATTGTTGCCTGTTTAGGATTGGGTTTTCGGTTCCTTCTCTTTCACTTCAAGGAGCCATGTGCGTCTTAGTGACATTACTTACTGTCTTGCTTGATGGGAATTGGTTAAAAGAATAGTTAAATGTCTTAATCTATCTATCTATCTATCTATCTATCTATCTATCTATCTATCTATCGATCTATCTCAGTCCATTCATATATCATCATCTGTCCATCTCTCTATCTCAGTCCATTCATATATTACTATCTATCTATCTATCTCTCTATCTATCTATCTATCTATCTTAGTCCATCTATCTATCTATCTATCTATCTATCTATCTATCTATCTATCTATCTATCTATCCCAGTCTATTCATATATCCTTATCTATATATAGATCTCAGTTCATTCATATATCATTAACTATCTATCTCAATCCATTCATTTAATATCTATCTATCTATCTATCTATCTATCTATCTATCTATCTATCTATCTTAGTCCATTTATCTATCTATCTATCTATCTATCTATCTATCTATCTATCTATCTATCCCAGTCTATTCATATATCCTTATCTATATATAGATCTCAGTTCATTCATATATCATTAACTATCTATCTCAATCCATTCATTTAATATCTATCTATCTATCTATCTATATCATCTATCTATCTATCTATCTATCTTAGTCCATTTATATATCATTATCTATCTATCTATCTATCTATCTATCTATCTATCTATCTATCTATCTATCTCAGTCAATCCATGTCATATATTTCTATTTATTTTCAAATCATTTCACCAAAGCAAGAGGTTACTGAGGTGGACAAAGTTTCCGAGAAAAAGCAATAAATAGAATAGAAATGGAGGAGACAGAAGCAGGCGATTGAGCTTTGCATTTAAAACTTTTGAGGATCATAGTTGATAGGAAAAAAAAAGCTGAAAATGCGAGAGAAGAAACTATGAGCATAGAAATGACGGTTGCATTTGCCAATTGAAAAATCATGAGACCTAACTGCCAACCTAGTACTTTGGGTAAATTAAAGAACTCGACGTACCAACCAGGTAAGCTCATGAAAACAATTGTCATTAAACTATTTATAGAAAAGGGACATGGAACTCACTTAGCGGCGGTGGGAAACGGACTGAAGGGGGTATTCTTCTTCTTCTTCTTCTTCTTCTTCTTCTTCTTCTTCTTCTTCATATATATATATATATATATATATATGTTTTTATCATACGTACACACACACACACACACACACACACATATATATATATATATATATATGTGTGTGTGTGTGTGTGTGTATGTATATACATATATACTTGTATATATATTTACTAATATGTACTTAGTACCTTTCATTTATAACATTGTGCACTGCATCTATAACACCGGATTTACATATATATATATATATATATATATATATATATATATATATATATATATGTGTGTGTGTGTGTGTGTGTGTGTGTGTGTGTGTGTGTGTGTGTGCATGTGTACATGCAAGGATATGTGTGTATATACCTGTTTTTATGAAACCTATATATCATACCTATATATATATATATATATATATATATATATATATATTACTTAAAATTAATAAATTCACTGCATCGTGTTATATTTATGAAAATGCATGGTTCCTGATTTCAAGTTAGAAAAGAATACGACATTTAGGAATGAATTTGCCTTCTTCTTTGAGAAGGAAAATGAGAGGGTAATCTAACAATGGAGACTTTAATATATAATTGATATTTTGGGAGATTTGGAGCTGTCAGAAAGTAACATTCAGCACGTCGTCAGGGATTTACTGATAATAAAAGTGACTTCGTACATTTTAGATTTTATGACAGATCATATATCACGTACTTTTCTTTCGATATGAATTTGTAGTGGATACTGTCAGGAACGATAATTCAGTGAAAAGCATTTCTTTTCTTTTTTTTTTCTTTTTTTTCACAATTATATGATCTCCTGTCAAGTTGAAGCAGAGGCTCGGGATTCATATCAACTGACAGGAAATCAACGTTCGCTTCTAACAACTTTTCTTTCTTCTTTTTAATTCTGCGCAGAAGTTTAAATATCTGACAAATGTTTTAACAGATGACACTGAAATTCGAAGGCGTACTGAAACAGCAGAAGATAACTTCTAAGAAATTAATCAGAACAATATGGCTTCCATTTCGCCAGGTCTGCTGCCGGCATGCTATCGACCAACACTAAATTTGTCTCAAGCTTTAAAAGCACGGGCTGTGGCTCTAGATATCATGAGTCTGTCATGCTTGCTTTCTCCACAAGCACAAGCTGACACGGGACAAATATTTGAACGGGTATGATTCTAAATCCTTTTATATTCATGTTGGGGATCCCCAGAGCTCTATTCATGGACCTATGCTATTTATGACCTTAGCGAAGGGCCTGATCGATGTGTTATTGTCTGAACTAGGTATTTATGCAGGTGACACAATTATTTACTCCTGTCTAAGTCTGACAGATCCGTCAAAGTAAACGTGGTAACTGCTCTCAAACAGGACCTACAATCACTGGTTAACTGGAGCAATAGAAACAGTTTGAAAATTTTAGCTCCCAAAACAATATTGCTTTCATTTAATCATCACAGATAATTTTTTCTACCTGCTATCAGTATAGCTGATGGTAAACTCCAGTAGATCAATATCCGAGGACTTTTAGGGCTCACGTTTTCTACTGACAGCAATGGGAGCTACTATATCGAATCAATTCTTCGGTCTACTGCAAGAAAAGTTGGTTCACTGTGTCATACCAGAAAATCATTGCTGTCAATTCAATCTTGCGCATTCATAAATCTACCGTTCGACACTGCATTGAATATTATTGCCATATCTAGTCTGGTATTCTTACTATATATCTCGAGATTTTTGACAAAATCCAAAGAAGGGTCTGTAATGTAATCGATCCAGATCTGGCATCTGGATTTCAGTCAGTTTCGCACCAGCTTCAAGTGGCTTCCATCTGTCATTTCTACAAATATTTTCATGGCAGTTGAACTTTTCCCTACTTCTCCGACTACATGAATTTAAGCGTGTTACTAGATTGGCAGATAGGTCTCACCGTTTTACTGTTAAAAATAGATACTAGTACCGCCTTTCTTTTTAACAGTTTCTTTTCTCACACTTCTCACCTGTGGATCACCCTTCTGATTTTTTTTTGCTTCCTGCCATCTACAATAATCAAAAATTTAAATGTAACGTTAATCAGCATCTTCTATCTTCTTGAATCCTCTTTAATGTCTTTCCTCACTTCTCCTCACAAACGTCATCTCATTCTATTTCATTCTCTCTAACCTCCTGCCCCCCACCTAGTGGCATTATCGTCTTGTTTGGGATGAATGATTAAAGGAATAGGCAAATTTCATTAGAAACAAAGAAAAGTTTGCTAAATTGATTTGTAATATCGTTCTAGATAGCAGTGAATTCTAGAATATTTACTTATAGATGAAGAGAAGGCTTGGGGCAACCAAGGCGTGGTTCTACAGAAGGATGCTGAGAATACCATGGACAGAACCAATGTATAAAATATTTTAAAAAAAGAAAAAGAAAATAGAGCTGAAATGCTATGTAAATCAATGATTCGGTATATCAGTGAATAGTGGACAATTTCCTTGTAGTTGAAGAGGTGACGTGACGATGTAGTTCTACAGAAGGATATTGAGGATACCACGCGCAGAATATGTAAGCAAGAAGAGGGTATTAAAGGGAATTGAAAAAAAAGATCACTTTTATTTAGAATAAGAAAGGAACAGTTTAAATTTATTGGGCACCTTGTGAGGAAAGAAATCGTGGAAAATTTGCAAATAGCAAACAAAATGACCAAAAGAAAACAGCAAGTAAAAGCCGTAAAAATTTAAATCCGACATCAATTATGGCTTTCCAGAACTTCTTATTTTTTGCAGCTCTAAGCAATGTTTGTCTTTTTACTGTGCCTCCCAGTTCCTGCCAGGCTATATATGCAAATTATTTAAAGATATACATTAATTCTCGATTGTGAGAAAGTCCTATTAATTAATTAACTCAAGGGGAAGAATAATTGAATTCATACTTCTATTTACATTATACGGATTATTGTCCTCATCTTTGTCGCCATATTTATTACAACGTTTCGGCCGTTGTACACTCCAGCCTTCTTCAGGTGGTTGGAATGTCCAACTGATTTCGTTCACTGGGGTAGACTGTTCATGATGTCAGTTATCAGTTATCTCCTGTTAATTCACCTCTCAAAGTTATCCACCACCTTAACCGGGTATTGAACTCACACTCTTTAGGTTCTGGATTTAACCAACGCCTTTATCCACTCTGCCATGTGTCCTTGAAAGCATCTGTGTATGAATTTTTAATTAGTATTATAAACTTTATGTCTCAGCAACCTTTTTTAACCAGTGCTCATATTGCAATTTTTTGCTGTTATCATTGCATGTTTTATGTTGTTATGGATTTTCTCTGGCACTCCTTATTACTGGTTCCCATATTGTATTCATTTCTATGCAGTGGAGAACTTGGAGAGGGGAATTAACAGGGGATAACTGATAACTGACATCGAATTAAACATGGCACATGGAACTAGAACACTCTACCCCAGTGAGGTTCATTTCGACATTCAAACCACCTGAAGAAGGCTGGAGCGTACAACGGTCGAAACGTTGTAATAAATATGGCGACAAAGAAGAGGACAATAGTCTGAACAATATAAATAGTGTACATAATACCTCATCCCAGAAATATAGACAGATACTTTCTCAGGTGAATATAACGATCAAGACTGAAGTTGGAACTCGGCTCTCATTAAATCTTACAGCACCTTGTATACCAAATCGGTCATGCATCTAGATACTAACCAGGTTAACGTGGCTTAACTTCGGTGATCGGATTAGAACCGGTATTTTGACGTGATATGGCTGAAAACCTGGAAAGCCATAAACGGATCTAGAGGTCACTGGATGAATATGATCAATCCTCAGTGAGGCAGCATTCACTGTCGACATTTGCTATAGCAGATCGAGACGGGTCAAACCTCGTAATAAAGTTTTTTTGTTTTTTTTATAAACGTTTATTTTCTGCGCGAATAACTCTGTTTGGAACGCTGAAGGCATATTCTATGATTCACTCGTGGCCAAAGAATAGGAGAAAATTATTTATCAAGATTATGAAACATGTTCGTTTTTGCTTAGACTCAACACGTTCAGCGCAAACGGGTAAATGATTCTGGTGGAGTAATGCCAGGACGGGGATTGTATTTCCGTCAGCTATTGTGATTCGGACTCTTCTGCCTGTTTTTTTAGCCTGTCGTTTCATCTTGATGCTGGTTTCTCTTCGTATCACGCCCAGTGAATTTGTATTTTTCCTTCACAACAAACACGTTGAAAAATTGACGTGCATCATTGACGAGCCATTAAAAAGAAGAACGTTATAAATGGATTTTATGTTTTGAAGTTTGTTCTGCTCTCAGTAATCCGAAGACTTAGAGAATAGAATTCCTACAGATTTTTTTTTCAATAACATTTACACTGTGACAAATAATGTGTTAGGCGGCACGGTGGAGAAATGAATAGCGGCTCGGACTGAAGAATCAGTAGAGCCGAGTTGAATCCATTACGTCCGTGTCAATACATTTACTTACACTACTTCCGTACTAATTCCAGTCGAATCCATTTTGCTAATGTCCTTGGGAATGAATCCTCTTCTCCTCCCAGCTATGGGCAAATAACGGGACAGATCGATGATGGGATGGATGGCAAAGGCAAATTGTCTAGGAGGAGAACTCTGAATTTAAAACCTGATACTCCAGATCAGAGGTTGGACAGTAGGCTAACAACCTACTCACTTAACAAAAAAAAAACTGGTTTTTTATAGAAACCGATAAAATGCGGCCCTATGGTCTTCAAGGAATTTATAGGCATAATAATATATAAATATAATAAATGACGTCCTAAATCGTTTTTATTGTAATCAGCAGTGTAATATTGTTTGTAGAACAGAGAAGAATATGTTAAAGTTATGTAATAGGAAGAAAAAAACAATATCTTAGATTAAAAAAAAAGTCAAAACAAAATACAAGCCACACCGATTGTTGGAAATATACTATATTTCTGAAGTACGATATATTTTCTAGTGTCAGTTTATGGATACAAGTCTCACGAAATAAAAGCAAAAGAAAGATGTCGTCGTGTCTTTTTTATTGGTCTGTGAATTGACGAATAAACAATTAGCGAAAATCGGTTTCTCCTCGCAAAGCGGTTTAGAGGAACACGTGTGTTTGCAAATGGTAGGACTAGATCGTGTCTCTCAACCACTTCTCCCTCTCCATCGCTGAGAAGTAGTCGTCAAAATTTCCCTACTAGGTACGTTGTACTATTTAATACTAATATATATATATATACATATACATACATACATACATATATATATATATATATATATATATATATATATATATATATATATATATATATATAGTTTTAAAAACAAGGAATGTATTGATTTAAAAGTCTCTAAGACACTTTCAACCAACATCTCATCAGGAGACAATCGTTGGATCAACGAAAAGAATATTAACGACAATGAAGAGCAAAAAGAGGGGGGAAACACACTAAAATAACAAACAAGTGTATATATTTTTGTAACGAGGGGAGGGGAAATAACCGTGTAAATAAATTAGCGAGGGACAGTTAAAATAAAATATCCCCCAACAGATTAAGAGACTTTACAAATTTTTTCTGCCGGCAGAGAGAAATCAATACATTCCTTGTTTTTAAAATTATATATAAATTTTGTACCTCTAAACATTTGTTTATATATATATATATATATATATATATATATATATATATATATATATATATATATAAAGACTTTTCCATCTGGTGGAAACATGGCTGGTTTAAGAGATGGCGACAGTGCAAATTTGCTGTATTGGTTTGAAGAAGATGGACGTGTAGACTAACGTAGCGGCGTAACCGACTATGGAATAATGTTTGTGCCACATGCTTAAACCCATGTGATGTCTTGGTTATGGCACAAAATATAGCAT